GTAAACATTTGAAAAGAGGAATTGAACCTTTTGTGCCCAAGCTCTCAAAACAGAGCAGGGAAACTAAAATGCTGCTGCAGAGAAAGTGTGAAATGAGCTCCTGAAAGATGCCTGGAAGGCTTACAGTCACTGAGGAAACAGGGCATTATCAAAAGACCTCAGAATATCTTTACACAGTTTAACCCGGGTTATGTCCCATGCAGCTGGCAGTGCTCAGGAGGGGCTGCAGAAGGCCAAGGGATTGGGACATGGCAGCAGAAAAGATGAAGCCCAGGGTTTAACCAACTCATTTCACTGAAGAGCCCCAGTAAAGGCTCCACTGCTCATGGGACTTACTCTTTTCTCTTTCTTAATTTGTTTAGTATCCTGGTATTTCTCAGCCTCTCAACAGCTGACACCTACAGTACCTTCAGAGCAATGTAATTTCTCCCACCTCATCATGCTCTCCCTCCTCTCCCCACTAACAGCCAGTTGAGACTCCACATCTTTAATCCTCTTCCCCAACTTCTAGAAGAAATCTGTAGATCAAAGTCTTTGCACAGCCTGGAAGTTACACAGCTAGTCCTCCCCCTAGTTCAGACTGAGATAGAGGGAAGGGATTAGTCATTATCACCTCCCTAACACAGAGAAAGCCTACAGCCCTTCCAAAGAGTCCTGGAACAGGATGGAAAAGTGTTCTTCAGCTCTTTACTGCTGAATTGGCTCCTAAGCCCAGTCCCTGTCCAGAGCTCAAATTGTAAAAGCATTTTCTTTTGAAGTAATTCCTTATAAACACAACAAAACTGGTGAGATCAGGAGTCACCTAATCCTAATCCTTTCTCCTGACAGGAGCCTCTGTCCTTTCCCAGCCTTTGGTGGTTCCCAGCTCCTACACAGGAAATGGACTCTGCATTTAGTACTGGGCTGACTTTTCTTCTCAACTTTTAAGACTCATAAAAGAAATGTGACTTCAAAGGGACTGTGAAGGTGCTGAGGCACTGGCACAGGGTGCCCAGAGCAGCTGTGGCTGCTCCATCCCTGGGAGTGTTCCAGGTCAGGTCGGACAGGGCGAAGAGCAACCTGGGCTGGTGGAAGGTGTCCCTGCCCATGGCAGGGGGGGGGATGGGATGACCTTTTAGATCCTTCCCACCCAAACCAGTCTGGGACTCTGTGATTGATAAAAAGCTGCAAAATAATTGGAAGCTTTGGTTGCTACAAAACCTCAACAAGGCCAGTGAAGAAGCCAATCCACCACACCGAAACTGTGACCACTGTGCAGCACCCATGGGCTGCTGCAAAGTCTCTTGGCAGAACACACTTTGGCCCCTCAGAGGTGAAAGGCACAGGGCAGCACATCAGCAGAGCTGTTTCAGCTCAGTCTCTGCTGTTCATAGTGACATGGACTTGACTGAAAAGCAGCATCAAGCACAGGATGCCACTGGCCTGGCTTGCCCTGGGGAATCTGCCAGTGGGAGCAGTATGCCAACAGCAGGCCCAGCAAGGCTGAAGGCCTGGGACATGGCAACCAAAAACTATGCCAACATCTGCTCTACGTGGGCATAAAGTACTGGATTTACGCTGCTATTCCCTTGGTTTTTTCACTAGTTCCTCAGGAAGTCACCCTCAACTGCCCAGGAGCCATCATTCTCCCACACCTCACCATCACCCAGTGGGGAAAGGAGGAAGGTAGAGCCAGAGAATCTTTACTACCAAGTTCTACTATCCATTTTCTCAGGTAATGCTTTGTATTCTCCTAAAACACTGCCAGAACCAGTGTCATTTGCATCTTGCCTCTTTTCCCACCAGAATACTGGAGTCACCCCATTATTTATTTACTTATTCACCTCAAACCCTCACTGGCCAATTCCAACCCCAGAGCTCTCCCAGATAAGCTCCTGCTTCCCAGCAGAAGGCTGAATGGGTGAACGTTGCCTGTTTGATGGAGCTTGAAGCATCTGAGGCTGTTCCTGAATCTGCTTTGAGAGCAGTTTGCTGTGCAGGAAGGAGGTGGCAGTGTGTGTAGCTGTGGGTTTGTGTTACCTCTGCTGCCCAAAGGAGATCTCTATCTGCAATTACACTGTGGCATGCTTACTATAGAGATCAGAAATGTACATAATTATAGACATAATATAGACATTAGCACATTAAAGGGGATCCAGATTGCTTATTCAGAGGGCAGAGTGGGTGGAAATCAGATTCAGTTGCACTGCATTCCCCTGGAACAGCCCCAGAACAGTCCTGGAACAGATCTTGCAGATAACACCAGAATGTACAGCAAAGTTCACAGCGACGCCAAGGGCTGCAGCTCACTTCCTCCTCCTCTGCATGACTCACACGAGTCATTCTGTCAGGTGAGAGCTGCTAATTGCCAATCACAGCACTGGAGAAAGCTGTGTCACCACACAGGTAAAGATATATTTAGTTACCACTAGGTAATGCCTTTGCTTCTGCCAGTGCAGACTGTGCAGAGCACAAGTTGGGCCTTTTCTTATCAAGAGAAACATTTAAAGTTAGAACTAGAGAAAGCTTTCAGAGTGCGAAGCAAGCAGCTTCTTTTAACTGACAGCTAGTATTAACCTCTGCAAGTTCCAGGTACTCCCTCTTACACTGATTTAATTCAGTGCAGAATCTCCTCCACACTTCAGGAAACAGATAAACCACACACTTGCTAATTCAAGCATAGAGGCAGTAATTAGAACGCGTTTAGGGACTTCTGCAGCTCGCTGAAGCAAGAGC